CGCTCCATGGAAAAAAGATGTGGCAGTCTGCTTCCATAAAGATTTATAGCCTCAGAATACAGTGCAGTTCTACTCTGTGCTATAGGGTCGCTATGAGTCAGAATTGACTCGCCCGCAGTGGGTTTGGTTTTTGGTTTATGTGTTTATCTCTATTCTCTACCGAGAATCCTAGTTTTCAAGGACACGGGGAATGATGATAGACTATCCTGCAATTATTCATTTGCTTTATCTACTTTATACATGCAACAGTCTCAGAATAACACTAGTAATATAACCACCACCAATATGATAACTGAAACAGTTCACATTTTTTTATTTGCTCTTCCCATTCTCCCCCTATTTTTTAATACTTGTACTATGTCAGCATTTTCAGAGCATACTGATATAATATGCTGTACTTTCTCTCTTTTATACCCTGTCTAGTCTTGGTGCTTATTTGATGGCCTGGTCATTTTGCACATCTGGCTCTTTAATGATAAATCCAGGACATAGATTAATGTTTTCATCTTGAAAGAAAGCAAAGAAACTACGAAGTCTAGTGATGTCAACTCCTGACAATTAAATGTTATTTGGCTAGTGTTGACTTTTTAATTCCAATAATTTATACTAATTTGTTCCTTACACATAAGTGTAGTCATAATAATGGTACCCAAAATTTTCTATAATAAACATCCATTACTTAAAAGCCTTGCTTACTATTCTTCCATCCTTGGTAATTTGGAAAAGGTAAAGCCAAATGAAATCCAGAGAGTCTCATATACTTCCTTTCAGATATAGTTTTAGACTTGCTTTCCACCGCTGCCTATAAGTAATAACAGATTATCAGTTTCACAACCTCTCTTCCTCCAATTTAGAGGAGCCGACTAATAAAGCAAACCCTGTTGGGCAACAAGGGCAAAAGGAGAGGAGTTTTTCAGAAGTAATTGTCAGACTGAAAATCTAGTCCCTGAAAAGTAAAACATATTTCTGAACATTAGTACCGACTATCCAGACAATAGATCTTTTTTAATTCAGAGCAGTAGAGAAAACATCTTTAAATCTGTAAAACAAAAAATAAATATATAAAAACTATTTTAAGTAGAGCTTTAAGTGACCCACCGCTATTCACCTCAGCTCACAATTCTGAATCCTGCCCCTGGACTCCTCTTACAATAATTTCGCCCCCTACAGGACAAATTAGGTGCTGGCACCTAAGTTATTTAGAGTTCTGAATTAATTGCCTGAATTATTTTGAGTTCAAAAATGGTTTCACTGTGCCTTTAACCTTTTATAAAAAGGAATCTATAATGCATTATTTTTTAAAAATGAAAACCAATATTTGAAGTTGTTGACTACTAACAAAAAAGTTGCGCTCACTTTCTTTATAGTGCCTCAGGATGCAACTTTTTCAAGGCCTTATAAGGGAAAAAATGATTCACATGTTATTCTTCAAAAGCTAAATTCTCCTAATCTTACAAATATCTGTGGGGATTTTCTTTTCCTGTATTTTTTTAAATGTTGGAAAATTGGATTGATTGTGAATCTGTGGTTTCTAGTTCAGATCTACTAAGAGATTGTTTCATCAATAATGTTGCTTCATTGCTTTTACTGGGTGCTGAGGGGCTTTCATTTTAAAGTGAGCATATGCCAGTTGTTCAATGTTTGTCACATTGTAATTTGTACCCTAAAGCACTCAAGTTATTTTAGAAAATCACCAAGAAATTCATTCTTCTTTTATTATTCAACTGCAAAAATCTGTGTAATTATCCAAATTGAAAATGTACAATTTTTTTCTTCTGTAAATGTGTATTATTTTGAGAAATAAAGAATGGCGGGACCATTGCTTTCATTAAAATATGTACTCTGTTCTTAGCTATTGATCTTGATAAGTTTTTATACAAACTTGAGGTGCTGTGAATTACTTAATATGGTCCTTCTAGCCATGGTCTTGTAACTCCAACCAAATGATTGGGTAGGCCTATGCAAATAAGGTGTATGGAACCCTAACGAGGGGACTGGTCAATTTGCCATCCCACTAGGCTTACAAGAGCTAATTTCAGAGCAGAGAAGGACCTCACTACCACCAAGCAATAAGAGCTAGGAGTGGAGCACGTCGGTTGGACCCAGGATCCCTGCACCAAGAACCTCCTATAGCCAGGAGACAGAGAGAGAGCTGTAACCCTGGAGATGGTGAGAGACGGTGAGAACCAGCAGCAAGGAAACAGTGGTAGCAGAGCCAGGAGATGGCACGGTAGGCTCCTGACCCATGGGGCAAGGTGGTTACTACAGTGGTTGTGCCGACCCACAGAGCGAGAGAGCTAAAGCT